TAGGAATGTGGGCGCTGTTGCCGTAGGGACAATCGAAGCAGCGTTCTACGTCGTAACCATAGTGACACAGCATCCTGAGAATAACCTGACGGACATAAAAATAAAAAAAAAACATAATGACCGCAGTTTGTGAAAGAAAACCAGATTCAGTTGGTATCATTTTTCTCCAGCTACCTCGTCTTTGAAAGCGGATTGCAGCGCCGAGGGGAAATGCGTGGCGTTGATTCGGCTGTAGTAGTTCACATTGGCTCCGTACCGCAGCAACAAGTTGATCAGATCGTAGTTGCCTAGTCGCAGTGCAACCTTTAGAAAAAACAATAATAACTCTACAAATTCTACAAAGAGCTGTGAAGGTCTCCACATACAAAAACAGTGAAACAAAACAAACATGTTGAATAAACTCTCCCTCATGATTAAATGGGCCAGGGCCGCATTTTTATTCTCTGAAACAATACAAACAACTTTCACCTCACACATGCAGTGATCGCGATGAAAATTATTTGTATTTTTTTACAGATTAACGCTAAATTCATGAAATCACGGCGAATGTATTAGTTTTAGGTATAAATAATGATCCATTGATTATTCCTTGCTGAGCGGACTTTTCCTTTAAGTAACTACAGGGGGCGCCAATCTGTTGCACTGTTTTTATTTTGGGGTGGGGGGGCTTAAACTATGAGCTCACCTCATGATAATTATAACCTTCTTCGAGCTGCTGTCCATTTCAAACCTCAGACATAACTAAATGATATCCACATCTGACATAATAAACATTTTTCTGAGTTAGATCCCAACATTTTAACACCCAGATTCAGTTTCTTGGGTCTGTTAATTCTGCATCAGACACCTCCACAGCGTTACCTGCAGACATTTAACAGGGTCTTGGTTGGGCATGGCGCCTGCCTCCAGCAGCAGCTTCGCCGACGCCATGTCATTATTGGAAACAGCAAAGAAGAGAGCCGACTTCCTCTCGTCATCATAATTCCTGCGGATCCAAGGGTGGAGCATGAAGTTGGGGTCATAACCATCATCCAGCAAGGCCTGATGGGAGGTTTGAGGAGACATGTTTTAGCTTCCCAGATCTCCTAATGAGCAGGTCAGTACATGATAACTTCTGCTCAATCTCAGAAGGACGGTTTATTTACTGTACAAACTTTTTCCAGTTCATCTTAAAAAACACCTAATTTGTAGTAATCCTCACCTATGAGATACATTATTTGAAAGCCAACACATTCTAGTTTCTGAAAATATAAATGAAAATGGTGTGAGTAGAACACAGCCTAAGCTGCATCAGTTCAAACTTGACTCAATGTTGTTTATTTTTATTCTCAAAAATAATAGATCTTTTCTGAACAGTAGTAATAAAGACCTGCTTGAGAAAAGGCAGGTCTCATTGTCATGTCAACCACAAATGCAGAACATTTCAGACCTGAATTTCTGGTGTCACCAGGGTCTCCAAATGTACCAAATTGTGCCAAATGCTATTACTCAACTATTTGACCCATAGAATAACACTGAAGCATTTTGATGTCCACAAAACATTTATGAAGCAATTATTTTCCACTTTATCTCCGAATCAGTGTGTATAACAAAATATAACATTTATAAACTTACAGGAACATAAAAATCTATGAAAAATAGTGAAACTGCTAAGCTAAAATAAGCCCCAGTGGCTTTTCTGACTTGTATTTTTTTTTTCAGCCTTAAGGGCAGATTATTCTTTCATTGGCTACAAATCCAAACAGCCCACATGGTCTTAACCAATCACAGCAGGACTCTATGAGGCGTAATATCGCTCTACTCCGTGCGTCATTGGCTGTCAGGCAGGGAGCGCTTGTTAGACTTCATGGGCTGTCCCTGACTCAAATCGCGTCATACAAAGACACTTTTTGTCTTGTTGGTAAGAAGACGATATAAAGAAACACACCAAACAACTGAGGAAATAAGTATTAGGAAGTAAATATGAACAAGAGTCTAAGCATTAGCTATGACCAGCTAACTTTTCTGATGTCAACAACCGGATGTTATATGGCGATTTTTTGCATCATGGAATATTTTTATTACGAATAATCTGGATTACCTTTAATCTGTCAACCCTTATGGATGAATGGAGTATAAAAAAATGGAGATTGGATTTATAAAACAGCTTCTGAATGCCTTCAAAGGGATGTTGTTGTGGCTGCTTTGTCATGTTTACATTTGGACATGCTGTTATATCTGTGTTAATTGTGCTTTGGTGCTCACTGTGTCCATAAAATGAACTAGGTGGTTGAACTGTGGAGAATCTGAGCTTTCCAACGATGTCTAACATGTTTATATTGGTAAACATTTTACCGTTGTAATTTCCATGCATTCTGAGTTATTAGTTGTAAACACTATAAAACAGGTCATTGGTACGGAGCCCCTAAAGGGACATGGAGGGGAAAAAAAGAACTTTTGCGAGATCCCTCAATATCTCGCAAAACTATTGCGGGATCTCGCAAAAGTATTACGGGATCTCACAAAAGTATTGCGAGATCTCGCAAAAAATAAACTTTTGCAAGCTCCCAAAAGTATACGTTTATTTTTTGCGAGATCTCGCAATACCTTTGCAAGATCCCGCAATACTTTTGCGAGATCCTGCAATACTTTTGTGAGATCTCGCAAAAGTATTGTGGGATCTCGCAAAAGTTTATTTTTTGTGAGATTTCGCAATACTTTTGCGAGATCCCGCAAAAGTATTGTGGGATCTCGCAAAAGTTTATTTTTTGTGAGATTTCGCAATACTTTTGCGAGATCCCGCAAAA